GGGAAAGAGAAAAGAGAGTCCCATGGGAATGCTCAGCACTGCTCCCCTGTTAATATATACCTTGTACTCTAATTTGATAGAGCTGTGATGTTCTTCGAGGAGTGCCAATGACTAAGAATCACCCAAATGAATAACAGCGAGGCAGAAAAGAGAATTGCAGGAACAAGTCTCCAACATCACTTTGCAGGAAAAACATCTTTCCATATTCTCTCTGTAGAGGCCAGGAGCCCTAATGTGTTATTACCACCAGTGTAATCAAAGCCTTTGAGATAAACATATTCCCCGGTACAACAAAAGTAGAGTAAATTTCCCTGAAAATGACTCACTGATGGAATGTGTCTAGCACAATCTTCTCTTTTAAGTCACTTATTGTATATTTTCTTGCTTTCTTCCTTGTTATCATCATGTTCATCAGTTCTCTCCTCACCCATCCACTGCATAATTGATTATTAATTTTGTGTGCACAATCTTATACTGAGTTTCTCTTATATGATGAAAACTCTTAGGCCTTGTCTACATTGAGAAATTGTCCACTACTTCTATTGCAGAAAAAGCTTTTCTGCAACCACTGTTCTGGAATAGCTCCCTATATGGGCATAATTTCTGGAATAATTATTCAGCTCAATTCCCACCTCTTCCTCCTTTCTTGTAGACTAGGCCTTAGAGGAAAGGGTGCCCTGTTTTAATACCTGTTTGTATTTTTCTTTTTACCAAAGGACCAGCTTTTTACCAAAGGATTGAATATTAGTACAAGATAAGGATGTTAAATTTGGATTAACCAACTAATCGCAGTGGCGGATATAGAGCAGAGCGAGCGGGGCGGCTGCTTCAATAGGCCCCGCGTACCCACTACTACCTGTCGGCTGTGGTCGTGGCGCATGCACGAAATTGTGCTGCCCCGGGCCCTGCACTTCAATAGGCCCTGTGCCCTGGGCCCCGCAAAACTCTCATCCACCCCTGACTAATCGAATAGTCAATGTAATTTGCATCGATTATTTGATTAGTCGATAAGGGCGCCTTCACCTCTGAAATGTAGCAAAAGCCCTGATGGCTACATTTCAAAGGTGGAAGTGCCGTGGGGAGCACAGCCAGTGGAGGATTCAAGAAGTCCCCTGCTGGCCCCACGCTCCCTGCTTTTGAAACGTACTAAGATTCAAAAGCAAGGAGAGCAGGACCAATGGGGGTCTGTTTGAGTCCCCAGCTTGCCCCAGGATCCCTGCAGTGCTCCTGCTTATGAAATGTAGAAAAAGCCCTGCTCTTACTACATTTCAAAGGCAGAAGTACCGACAGTTTCCTGCTGTACCCTTGCTCCTTCTCCCCACAGAGACAGTGCTGGGGGGAACCAGCTTTTAAGCCAGCTTCTCCTAGCACTGGCTCCTGTGTCCCCCCCCCCCCGCTAGGAGGCAGGGGGAAGCAACTAGCTGAGTGATTAGTTGACTAGTCACTTAGGGAACACGTCTGCTTTTTCGGAACAGTTTCTGAAAAAGCGGGCGTGTTCTTTCAGAAGCCCTGTATTCCTTATTTTATAAGGAATAAGGGATTTTCTGAAAGAGACGGTTTTTCCCACATTTGGCCCCGTGTAGATAGGCCAAATGTCAGAAAAGCCTCTTCTGAAAAAAAATGCAGAAAAAGGTATGCAAATTCCAGAAAAAGAACGCAGTGTAGATATAGCCTTACAGCCCTAATACACGACATAGAATCATAGAATACTAGGACTGGAAGGGACCTCAAGAGATCATCAAGTCCAGTCCCCTGCCCTCATGGCAGGACCCAGTACTGTCTAGACCAGTGGTCCCCAACCTTTTGAGGCTGTCGGGCGCCAGGGGGCGTGGCCGTGCGCCCGCCGGGCGCCAGGGGGCAGGGACTCTTGCGCGCCAAGGGGCGGCCCCCCTCCATAGCCACATGCCCGGGGGCAGGGCCACCCCATAGCCACGCGCCTGGGGGCGGGGCCCCCTCCGGCCAAGATGAACAAGTTTTCTCCCTCCTCCTTATGACACCCTTTTAGATACCTGAAAACTGCTATCATGTCTCCCCTCAATCTTCTCTTTTCTAAACTGAACAAACCCAATTCTTTCAGCCTTCCTTCATAGGTCATGTTCTCTAGACCTTTAATCATTCTTGTTGCTCTTCTCTGGACCCTCTCCAATTTCTCCACATCCTTCTTGAAATGCGGTGCCTAGAACTGGACACAATACAGCAATTGAAGCCTAACCAGTGCAGAGTAGAGCGGAAGAATGACTTCTCGTGTCTTGCTCACAACACCTGTTAATGCATCCCAGAATCATGTTTGCTTTTTTTGCAACAGCATCACACTGTTGATTCATATTTAGCTTGTGGTCCACTATAACCCCTAGATCCCTTTCTGCCGCTCTCCTTCCTAGACAGTCACTTTCTATTCTGTATGTGTGAAACTGATTGTTCCTTCCTAAGTGGAGCACTTTCCTTTTTGTTCTTATTAAACTTCATCCTGTTTACCTCAGACCATTTCTCCAATTTGTCCAGATCATTTTGAATTATGACCCTATTCGCCAAAGTAGTTGCAACCCCTCCAAGCTTGGTATTATCTGCAAACTTAATAAGCGTACTCTCTATGCCGATATCTAAATCGTTGATGAAGATATGACAGGACTGCTTTCTAAAAACAAAACAAAAAACTGTGTTTGAAAATCTATTTTTTTCTCAACAACAAAGATGAGGAAGAAGTTTAATAGCTACACAGTAGTTTCAAAATCAACCTCATGGCACTGCAATTATCCTGCTATTCTGATATCACAGATGATCTAATCTGGGGTTGGAAATTGGGATTTTGCAAGGAGATTTAAGGAGCAAAATGAACAAATCCTACAGAAGCAAAGCACCAAACTTGTTAGACTGCTTGGAAAACCCTAGCTAAAATGCTCTTGTCATGCTTTTCACTGTCTTCACAAATGACTCTGAAAACTGGGTAACTCTAGGGGCTGCTTAAGTTGTGTAGGGCCAAACCTGGGAAATAACATGTCCAACTGGCAGAAAACATGCATGTATGGATGCAAATAGGTACCTATGGATGCAACATGGAAAACTGGTTGTGTGGGCAATTGACCTTTTTTTTGTGGGTGCTATTGCATATTTTATGAGCAGTCATCAATCTGTACCATCTTTTGTGGATGGAACTTGTGTGTCTAATTTTGAAAACCTGGCCCTTTTGAATTCAGAACCCAATGGATTACATGGGAAGAGCTGGAGCCTGAATGTATACAGGATGGATATTGTGTCTTATGAAAACAACCTTTTTATGAGACATGCACCCCTGCTTCCTTTCAAGCCTAGTGAAATGTCCAAAAGGGAGCATCAGTGAATGCATTGGGTAACTGGACACTAAACTTCCTCTAACTAGAGCTGATAGTCATTGCTTGAGATCAGGATACCAACTGCGAACTAAACAGTGGTGCTAGGAACTGAGCATCTTTAAGAATGAAGAAGTTAATGCTGCATCCCTCTGCTGCTGGCAATGAGACAAGTTTTAAGAACTGTTTAATAGACTTACGCTCATATTGCTCCTTGGCTCCAAAACCAGGGTCACCTTCACTTCCCCCTCCTGGTTTAAGCGGCTCAGGTAAAACAGTTGCTCCCCCATCATCTTCTCCCGGATCATTTTGCGCACTGCATAGAGACGGAATCTGAGTGCGTAGCTACCCAGGTCCTCTGGCTCCAGCTTATGAAAAGTCATTTTGTCCTTGAACACTGGGATGGGTCCTCTCTGAACGCTTGTCTTTCCCCTCTGTTTCTTGCTGGGCATCAGAACTGTGTGAACTTGCCAGGTGTTCACACCACTGCGGTCTTTGTCCGGGATATCCTTAGCTTCCACAATAGTAACCAGCAGCTTTTGGCTTGAGGCCTTATAATCGAAAATGACATCTAGGTCACCGCATTTAGAAATCGGTTCATGGGCACTGTGATGAGCTGGAAGACTATTCCCTCCTTCATGGTCCTGCCATGGGGAAGAATAAATAAAGGATATATAAAAAATTATTTCCTATACAGGACTTATTAAATCTAACACCACACAATGATGGCCCATCGGGATCATGCAAGGGTAAAGTTGAGTGTCATAGAGTGTGAGTAACAAAAAATCATTGTATACAGAATAACTGGCAAACATGACTGAGACCAAATAGAAGACGCTTTGAGATCTACTGATGTAAAGTGCTATATAGGAAGTAGGTATTATTATTACCATAGTCTCATCAACTCAACGGAAGTAAGTATTATTATTACCATAGTCTCATCAACTCAACTCCTTGATAGATAGTGGGTCTCAAATAGTGAAGAAATATCCTGAGCAAAGTACCATGTGCAATAAACACACAGACATTACCTAATCCTGATGTGCTTCTTCCATAGGCTGTGTACGTCTACACTGCACCCTGTACTGAGCCTCCTAGCCCGGGTTGATGGGCTTGTGCTAGTGCACTAAAAATACAGTTTGAACCTCCTAAATCTGGGACTCTCTGGTCCGGCAACTTCCTTGGTCTGGGAGGACCACTGATGTTGCAAGACCGGCTAGTCCCATTGGTCTGGGAGGATCACTGATGTTGCAAGACCGGCTAGTCCCAGTGTCTGAGAGCAAGCTGGTTGGGAGTCCAGCGGTGGGGAGCCTCTCCATCAGGTCCAGTGAGCCCAATCCTTGAACAGCCCCAACCAGGTGAGGCAGCAGGGGGACTGGTGAACCTCATTGCTGCGGAGCCCCGTACCAGAGCAGCAACAGCGGGGCAGCCACAAAGCTCTGCCTCTGGAAAGCCCCACTACGGTGGGGCAGAAATGTGGCCACAGCAGCTGGGGAGCTCCACCCCCAGAGAGTCCCAGCTGGTTGGCAGCAGCAGGCCAGAGCCAAACCCAAGCTCTGTAGTAGCAGGGCTGGAGTCCAGTGGCAGTGGTGCTGGAGCGGAGCCAGCCAAAGAGAGAGGCAGTGTGCTGAGAGGCCAGTGGCAGGGGATCTCCCCTGATCTGGCAAATTCCCTGATCTGGCAAATTCAGGTGCCAATGGTGCTGAACCAGGGAGGTCCAAAACCTATAGTTGTATGGCCGTTGGTGCTCAGGCTCTCAAGGGCCTCCATTTCAAGGCTGGGGATCTATCTAGTTATGTTTTTGTCACCCCAGGCTGATACGGTTCCCTCCCACATGCAGTGTAGGCATATTCCAAATGCCCACCTTCGGAATGTGATATGGTCACATGAACATCCAGAAGCTGAGCCACACTCTGTGGTGTCAACTCCAACAAAGTGGCCTTTGTTTTGCTCACCCTTTTCTCTGGAGAGCAGGCAAACAAACATATAAATACTCCTTTCTGGTTTTGGAGAGGCCAATTCAGGTGAATTGCTGGATTCCCTACTGCACCTGATTCACAAGTGAGTGGTGGTCTACCACTCTGCCTTTGCTTGCGGCAAGAGCAGTAGAGGTAGTGACACAGAAAACCAGCCAGATCAGACTGGGGGAGTGGCAAATAAAGCAAAGGACAAGTCACTGATTCAGAGTATGCTGGATCACTTAGTAAACTGGGTGCAAGCAAACAGTTTGCCTTTTAATATGGTTAAATGTAAATATGTCTATTTCAAAGAACAAAGAGTGCAGACCATACAAAGAATGGGGGACCATATCCCAGGAAGCAGTGACTCTGAAAAAGATTTGGAGGGTCATGTTGGATAACCAGCTGAGCGTGAGCTCCCCAGGCGATACTTGGTCAAAAAACCAATGCAGTCCTGGAATGCATAAATGGGGGGATCTCAAGAATGAGTTGAGAGATTATTTTATCTCTGTATTTGGAGATACAGAGATCTGCTGGAATCATTTGTCCAGTTCTGATGCACACAATTCCAGAAGGATGCTGATAAATTGGAAAAGGTTCAGACAAGGGTGATGAGAATGAATACGGATTAGAAAATATGCCTTCTAGGACAGACTCAATGAGTTCAATCTATTTAGCTTCAGAAAGAGAAGATGATAGAATGATTTGATTGCGGCCTGTAAGTATCTGCATGGAGAACAAATATTTAATAATGGGCTCTTCCATCTAGTAGTATAACATGATCCAGTGGCTAAAAGATGAACCTAAACAAATTCAGACTTGCATTTTGACAGGGAGGGAATTAACTATTGCAATAGTTTATAAAGGGGTAATAGATTCTCCATTAATTTTTAAATAAAGATTGGATGATTTTGTAATAAAAAAGATCTGCTCTAGGGATTGCTTTGGGGGCAGTACTCCGGCCTGTGTTATACAGGAGGTCAGATTAGATGATCACAATGATCCCTTCTCGCCTTGCAATCTCTGAATCCAACACTTCTTGGCTCCTCTCCCATTATGTGCATCTCCATCCAAAGTGCCGGGAAACTTTTATTCACTTTGAACCCTCATGTTTCGTGGGTAGAACTCAAACCATACAATCAACACGTATATAAATCAATTCTCACATTACCCTTTCTTTTGGTTTCTTTAGAAACTTATGATTAAACAAGATTAACACCACTACAACCGTTGCTCGCTTTACCTGTTGATGGGTGTGTGTGTGCGAGAAGCTGTTTAAAGGTGCTTTTCATCTCAGAGACAGAATGTGTTTCATGTGATAAAGGGGTTGCTATAACAATCAATCATTTCTATTTAAACCTATGTACACTTCACTAGGGCAAGATTTTCGGTTAATATCCAGTAGGTGAATCAAGGCCCGTTGTGGGCAGTGTAAGGAGGAGCAACTCAAATCTTTATCTTTTGATTTTAAACTAACACATTTCAATATGTGGATCTAATCAGGGATGTAGGAGAGTAGTTGAGTTGACTATTCACATTGTCCCTGCTTGCTGCCTCTGTATCAGAGGCAGCAAGGGGGGGGAGGAGCAGGAGCCAGTACTGGGGGGAGCAAGCTTAAAAGCTGGTCCACCCAGCACCATCTCCGCAGTGCCGCCTCTCCCCATCCCCACACTTCTGCCTCTATCAGAGGTAGCAGCGTGGGGAGGGGGGCAGGGGAGGCTGCCATGAAGCAGCTCTGCAGAGCAGCCCTTGCCCACTCCCTGTTCTGACTCCCCTCCTGCCCCCGCCACCACAATGGAATTAGGCAATTGTGTGCATGGTCAATGGTAAACAAAATGTCCCACTGGCCACACAAAGAACCCTGGTGGGCCACAGGTTGCTTACCACTTGACTAGATAATCTAAATGTCCCTTTCCCTCCTTAAACTGTTTGAATCTACACAGACTTAAGACATATACCCCTCTCACTATAGTGTGTCTCTGATAACAGATCACCAGTGCAGGACCGAATGTGTATACATGTAAAATACACATTCTTGCTAGGAAAAAAAACAATATTTGACAAAGTGATAATTATGGCAGCAGCCTTGAAATGCTCTATGAGCATCCATGGCAGATGCACAACATTATAATGTCTGTCTCAAAACAGAGGTCTGTTTGAATGCAGCACAGCAATATTTAGGTATTTCTGGAATGTCAGAACATGAAGTTCACTCAAAAAAATTCTTCCATTAAGGCACACAATGCAGTGAGATGAGAAGCTACTCGCAGCAAACAAACCAGGATCCAGGTGTATCTGAACTCTGTAAATTCTCTAGGTGTTGCTCATGTTGTTCATATACATGCATCTGGGGTGGAGTGACAGGCACATTCAAAATATAAATGAAAAGAGGACACCCCATATTCCACAGCACTTATGTACGGTGATGGGCATGAAACAGAGAGAGAATCCACAGATTAACATCCTGGCTCAAATCATGAAGAAAAAAGGGTCCAAACAGTTATTGCAGGAGGTTCTAGTGTATCAGGGCATAGATGCAGAGCCAATCTGTGCAGCAGTCAAAACGACGGTCTATTTTTAGTGCCTCTCCGTGAACGTCTGCTCTTACCAGGTCAAAAGCCCATACACTGAGAAGCTGTTTTCACTCTTCAGCTGGGTACAAGCAGCTTGCTCACAGGAAGGGAACATTTTCTGCCAAGCCTTGTTTTTCCTTAGGGCAAAGAGAGTAACTTGTGCAGCTAAGGGATGTTCATTTTGGAACATGGCCTTTTGTGCTTTTTAAAAAATATTTTATGCAATTCTTTATGCCTGCAGAAATTAATCAGATGGTCAATAATCATCACCCACGGGTATTACTCGTGGGTATTAGCTTTGAAATAAGGGCCAGATCCTCAGGTCTTGCAAAGAGCTGCCTGGTGAAATGCACTGATTGCAGGAGAGCAAAGGAGGCTGTAAGCCAGACCCCTGCCTGCCATAGAAATGTGCTGTGTGTCAATGGAGAGCAGCATGACAAGCAGCTAGCTAAACCAGGGAAGCCCCCAGCTGGCCCTTTCATTCAACTTTCCAGATGTGTCATGTTCCCTGAGCAACAGAAAGCCACCAGGAGGAGAAGCAAGGATCTGACCCAGTAATCTTACACTGTATCCCTACAGACACACACCACAGACACGTGCAGTAACAAATCCACTTACCTCCTTGCAAGTGTGACAAGACATTGTTAGCTATTTCACAGTAACGTCTCTCATGTGGAAAACGGCTGAGATATGATTTCTGTGTGAAATCAGACAACAAACCAGCCTCCCAGAAGGAATACTAGTGAAATCTATTCAAAATTCCAACCGGCACAGTATCAGGAAAGAGAAAACCGTATACACGCACAAAGGTGAGTGCATGCATGCACTTAGGGCTTACTATCCTGTGCTGTGCCAAGTGATTTTTCACTTCATTTCTTCCCTTAAGATTTTGGACAAGAAGCCCAGACACCTTCAAGGAACAGAAACACTGTGTGTAATGCAGAATAATTCACCGTACCTCAGGGCTCCAAGCTGATGAGCTGTCCGTAGCATCATTCCCTTCAAATCCCTGGTTGCTGAATGCCGTCTCCATTTGCAAGCTCCCATCTGTGGCTTGCTGGCTAAGGCTATGGGTAATGCTAGCCTCCATTCCAGGGTCTTTGGTACCCCGGCTCTCAGAGGCAGTTCTTGAATCAACAGATATGTGGTCATCTTCAGGATAGGATAGGTTGTCTTGGAAACTCAGTTGGCTTAGCCCATCCAGATCTAACAATATTCAGCAAGAAAATCATTTCAGAGTGATTAAAATGACTTGTTTTCTCCCTAATTTATCTTTTACCCCCTTACTACTGGAGGAGCCTGGCAGGGCCAGCCCTGTTTATGAGACACCTGGCACTGACTTCACACACACAAAACCACACAAGCCACATAAATCAGCATTGCACAAAATAAAAGCGGCTACTTTCCCCCTGTCTCACACAAAGCAAGGATCAGAGAGATGTGAGGGAATACGGGACTAAGAACACCTATAGGGTATGAAGACATCACCTGTCAAGAGACAGACTGGGCACACAATGGACAAGCAGAAGGCACAGGCCTGATCCTAAGAGAAGGGTGTGACGGAGGGAAACCTACACAATTTTCTCTTCTCGGTGGGTGGGAAGCAGCACCGGGGTCAGTCTCGCCCAGTAGGGAAACAGCACTGATAGAGACAGAAGGCTTGGCTTAGGTGGTTGATAGAAGGCCTGGCCTCCCATTCAGTCTCCGTCCTGAGGAGTTCAAGTGCAACTTAAAGCAGTTCTCCAACCAAACGGAAATTCTGAGGAAGGGGGCAACGTTAACTCTACTAGTCTGAGCTGAGGTGAAACCCACCCTGGGACACAAGACTGCTCACATTACAACTCCCCTGCCTCCCCAGGCCAGCTTCCATGCACCTGACCTAACAGGTCTATCCTGCATGATTGAAGATGGAAATGTTACTCAACCTGAATAGTTCTTTAAGGTTTGTGTCCCTAGGAGTGCTCCACTTCAGGTGCGCATGTGCCTCTCAAGCTCTCGTCTGGAGATTTATAGGCCTCATGCCTGAGCAAATGTCAAGGCTACGTATGGGTGCATGGGAAAACTGCCCTCAGTTCTTTCTCTAGCCAGGCACCCTTGAGGGAACAACCAAAGCAGGAGGAGGAGGGCAGGTAATGGAGCACCCACCAAGACACACATCTCGAAGAACTCCAGTTCCTGCACAGGGTGAGTAATATCTCCTTCTTCCTTGAGTAGTGTCCTTATGGATGCTCCACTTCAGGTGACTTCTCAGAAGTATCACAGGAGGAAAAGGGCACTTCTGAACAAAGTACAGAACTGAAGATAGTGCTATTGGGCCAAATACCACATCGGATCTGATGCCATGGAGCAGACAGTCATGCTTCGAAAACATACTGAAGTCCAAGTAGTGGCTGCATGTATCAGACACTGGAACACTTTTCAGAAATGTAGATGTTGTCTGTGATCTGGTTGAATGTGCTCTGATCCCTTGAGGCGGCTGAACATCTATAGGCTCATAACAGGTAGAGAGACAACCCAAAAACCATTTTGAAAGGCTTCAAGCAGAGAGAGAAGTCCCTTTAGATCTATCTGGAAAGAAGGAGGAGAGTCTAAGGCAGAGGTCTCAAACTCCCAGGCCATGAGCCATCCTCAGTCAGACCAATTACACAACCCTGCCAAGGAGTCCAAGTGGGCCAGAGGGGGCTGTCCATTACCGCCCCTAAGCCCTGCCCCTTCCTGACATTACCCCGCCCTCTCCCTCCATGGTACACCATCCTCTGAGGGATGCAGCCTCGGGGATTACCAGGGAGTCTGGCATGGGGTGGCATAAATGGTCCCCCCCCTTCACTCCCCACAGGGAAGTGGACCGCTCTTGACAGGTGCACTTGCTCTGCTTCCTTGTGGCTCCTGCCACTATGGAGAGTGCAGGGGGACTTGACTACTGCTGCCGCCCCAGGCCAGGCTCCCAACAGTGATCTCCAAAGATGTGCCCTTAAGGGATGGGGTGCCATGGGTGGAGGGGAGAGGCCAGGGCAGTGGTGGGAAGGGCTAGGCTTTGGGGGATGGTAACGGGCAGTCTCCCTGCCCAGCGTGCTGGATCTCCCAGGCTGGATTGCATATTTGCTTTGGCTGGTGATAGCGGGAATTTGAGACCCCTCTTCTAGGTGATCTCTTAAACTGCTTACTCCTATCGACATAGAAGGTGTCAAGGCCTTTCTAACATCTCTTTCTAACAGAGATCTTTTTGTAAAGGAGGGGGATCTGCGTTAAGGTTCCAGTAACCCTGACCCCGTGGCAACCCAGAAGGTGATTTTCACAGATAAATGAAGGATGCAGCAAGTCGTCGCTGGTTTGAATAGAAGTCTTGTAAAGCAGCTGCGAGCCAGGTTAAGGTCCCAAGATGCGGTAGGTTGTCTAATGTGAGGGATGAGATTACACAAGTCTTTAAATCAGGGGTAGGGAGCCTACAGCCCACAGGCCAGATCCAGCCCCTGGCTTTCTTTGATCTGGCCTACAGCAATCTTTGGGGCTTTCAGTAACATAGGGTAGCCCTGGAGTCCTTCAGTGTGTGCCGGGTTGTTCATGGTCTCTGAGAAAAAGCTTATGACCGTGTGTTCTGAAGTTCTGTCAGAAACCCCGCAAGTGGGAGCCATGTTTTCAGAGCATAATCACTGCTGTAGAGATGAATCTGGCACAGTGTCTGATGCATCTAGAGACACTCGGAAAGCTGTTCTGGCCAATGATCGACCCTTTGCCAGTATGGACTAAAGTTGCTCCTTGCACTCATGTGGCAGCTGCTCAATGAAATCGGTGAGCTTGTTGTAAATAGTAAATCTGTATTGGGCCATGACCACCTAATAGTTTGTGATCTGGAACTGTAGAGTTGCAGATGAGTAAGACTTTTATCCAAAGAGAGCCAGCCCCTTTTAGTCCATATTAAAGGGGGCAGGTCCCAAAAAGTGCTGCCTATCCCACCCAGGCCTTTCATCCATCACTAGGGAGTAGGTGGTGGATGTGAAAATAAAAAGTCAGAATGCTTAAGGAGCACATACAGTTATCTGCCCTTCTGCACACAGGGGGTATGTCTACACTACCCCCCTAGTTCGAACTAGGGGGGTAATGTATGCATACTGAACTTGCTAATGAAGCCCGGGATTTGAATTTCCCAAGTCAGAATGCTTAAGGAGCACATACAGTTACCTGCCCTTCTGCACACTGGTAGAGTAGTATGTGGTGTTAGACACTTAGTGGGTTTCAGGAGACTCTCATGAACAGGTAGTGCCACTCTGGAAGGTGTTGTCAACTGCAAGATACCCAGCAGCCTATGTTACAGTTCCTTGACCTCTGCCAGAGGTCTACCACTGTTCTCAGGAGATCGTGAAACTGCCTAGAGTTGTTGGTCATGGAAAGTGGGGGAGGCTTAATTTGCTCATCGGCAACAACAATGAAATGGATGTCTCGGGGTAACTTCTTCGTCTGCTCTAGCCTCCTGCTCTTCACATGTCTCCTCCTACCATGGCAGATAGGGAGGGGAAAGATGTAAAACCCTAGTCTCCCTGAAGGATGGTACCAGTGATCTGTGAAACTGCTGCCCATAGGTAGCCCATGGGTCCCAATGTGGCCTCTGCAGGGGTCCATAAGGAAGCAAGGGTGGCAAGGCTGGGTTTCCACCTCTTTGGTACGACAGCCCACCCTGTGTGAAGGCAGATTCCCTTGAGGTATTGAGGAGACAACTGGGGAGTCCCCTTTGTTTTCCTCTATGGAGAGGAAGGGGGCAGCCATTCAGGAGGCAGGCGCATCCTGTGCCATAAGATGGCTGCTTCAAGGTCAAGGTCACAGAACCAGGAGATGTCCCCTACCCATCAACAACAGGGACGCTGGTTCATCTGACCCCGAGAGGCCTCTTGAGTATTGGAATTCTTGAGGTACCGGAATGGACCTTGGTACCGGCGCCATAGTGCAGTTGCCGTAGCTGAAGCTGACAGCATTGATGACAATGAGCGTTCTGCAGGACCTGCAGATGGCTGGCACTATGGCTTGCTCAGTTGAGACAGTTCCGCAGGCCCTGGATGAGCTGCTTCCATCACTACCGGCGGCTGGGTTATGATGGAACCAACAACTGAATGAGATGCTTCGGTGTCAGTGACAGGGGTGAACTTGACAGTAACCTGTCCTCATCCTCCTTACTGGTGCAGGGTGCTGGGGCTCTAATGCAGCCGTACTTCTTGTACTCGGAGCTCCAGGGCTTCATAGACCTGCTGGTACTGGAGGAAGAGTCCTTGACTCCACCAATACCATCGGAGACCAAGCCTGCCACTATGGAGAGTGCAGGGGGACTTGACTACTGCTGCCGCCCCAGGCCAGGCTCCCAACAGTGATCTCCAAAGATGTGCCCTTAAGGGATGGGGTGCCATGGGTGGAGGGGAGAGGCCAGGGCAGTGGTGGGAAGGGCTAGGCTTTGGGGGATGGTAACGGGCAGTCTCCCTGCCCAGCATGCTGGATCTCCCAGGCTGGATTGCATATTTGCTTTGGCTGGTGATAGCGGGAATTTGAGACCCCTCTTCTAGGTGATCTCTTAAACTGCTTACTCCTATCGACATAGAAGGTGTCAAGGCCTTTCTAACATCTCTTTCTAACAGAGATCTTTTTGTAAAGGAGGGGGATCTGCGTTAAGGTTCCAGTAACCCTGACCCCGTGGCAACCCAGAAGGTGATTTTCACAGATAAATGAAGGATGCAGCAAGTCGTCGCTGGTTTGAATAGAAGTCTTGTAAAGCAGCTGCGAGCCAGGTTAAGGTCCCAAGATGCGGTAGGTTGTCTAATGTGAGGGATGAGATTACACAAGTCTTTAAATCAGGGGTAGGGAGCCTACAGCCCACAGGCCAGATCCAGCCCCTGGCTTTCTTTGATCTGGCCTACAGCAATCTTTGGGGCTTTCAGTAACATAGGGTAGCCCTGGAGTCCTTCAGTGTGTGCCGGGTTGTTCATGGTCTCTGAGAAAAAGCTTATGACCGTGTGTTCTGAAGTTCTGTCAGAAACCCCGCAAGTGGGAGCCATGTTTTCAGAGCATAATCACTGCTGTAGAGATGAATCTGGCACAGTGTCTGATGCATCTAGAGACACTCGGAAAGCTGTTCTGGCCAATGATCGACCCTTTGCCAGTATGGACTAAAGTTGCTCCTTGCACTCATGTGGCAGCTGCTCAATGAAATCGGTGAGCTTGTTGTA